ATATATATATATTACCAACCATCTCAACTCAGCTTGTTCTTTTTCTTTTGATCGAGCTTGTAATTTGGTTGTTTCTTATATTCAGTAAATTCATTAATTAAACTTCCAAGTATAGTCGCAATTCTGTCATGTCAAATATAAACACAAATTATATAGAACGTTAAGGGCTCGTTTGGTACACCGTATTAGACTCTGGATAGGAGTAAATAGTTCATATCATGTGTTTGGTGTCAACTTGTATTATTTAATTACCTGATTATTTTATATGGGTTGGGCTTTTAATACTCTCCTTATTTGACTAACTAATACAATCCACACACTCCATATTAGATAATACACGCTTAATTATACGACTATGGATAAAAAACACGCGTTCTACAGTGAAAAATCAAACGCTCTTTTCATTCTTCTCCTTAGGGTTCTTCTCTGCAATCTTCTACACAGGTTATTCTCATCACTCTTCTCCATGTATCCATCTCTCACTCTCTATTTTTCATACTCTCTCAAATGTGCTTCTTCTTACTTCTTCTCTATTCTCTATATATTTCTTCTTTTATTAATTTTTTTGTGAAAATTAGGTTATGAGTTTTTCCTTCTTGACATTTTTTAATCGAATGTTTTGTTTGTATGTGATATAATTCGACGTTGTGGGAATCTTTAGCAAATAAATTGATTCGTGGAATTGTTTCTTTGTCCATGTTTCGCTTTTTGATTGGTGTTTTTCAGTTTTTCAATGTGTTGAGAACTAGAAACAAATAGAACAATGGTTGGGGTATGATTGTGAGGGATGCCAGTGGTTGCTTTGTGGCGGTAAAGGCAATTTGCTTTCGAAATCTTGCAGCTGATAAAAAAAGGAAAGGACCATGAATGTAGTATGTGAAACACGACAAACCTACTAGTGTGGCTTGCATGTAAAGCACAACTAACATACCATAAAATACTAATCACAATTCAATATCTCTTTTGGATGGGACTTACATTAGAGTTTGTGTCCCTGATCAAGATAAACCAAGATATCAAACACGAAAGGGGGAGGTTGCAACCAATGTATTGGGAGTTTGTACTCCTGAAAAAGTTTCGTGTCATTTGAATTCAATTTCCACTTAAATTATGAAAGAATTTTTTTTTATAAAAATAGTCTAATCCGATGTTATTCGGAACAGCATAAAACACAGTATAACGTAGTCAGACTATTTATCCGAAACAATACCAAACACCTTATAATATTATGGATAAACATTCAGTACTCTCCGGAACAGATTAATACTATCCGCCAGAAATTAAGGGATTAGATGCGAAGTCATATATCAAACAAGTAATCACTCAACATCTGTCTATAATGTGACTTTGCATCTAATCCCCTTAACATTGCATAGAATCTATAAATTTTTTGTTTTACTCACCTAAAATAAGATGGGATTTAAACACATAATTTAATGTTTATCTTTTTCAAGGACATCAATGTACAATTGAAATGGAGTGGTAGGCAGATGTGTGTTAGTGGTGATGGTGGAGGTGATGTCATTGCCTGCCATCACCATGACGTGAGATGTTGGTTGTAGGGCTGCTATAGTGATAAGGTGTATGATTGAACTAAATTAACTTGTGTGGTGATGAATTATATGTGCACAAGCAGACTCATGATGTGGATAGTGATAAGGTGTATGATTGAACGAAATTAACTTGTGTGGTGATGAATTATATGTGCACAAGCAGACTCATGATGTAGATAGTGATAAGTTGTATGATTGAACTGAATTAAGTGCACAAGCAGACTCATGATATGGATGGACCAACCAAATAAATGAGTGGTTTTAAGTTTGTGCACTGCAGAGATAGAGAGAAAACGTAGGTACCAGGGCACAAGTAGAGTACTGGCAATATACAGATATTACATATCCAAGGAGGAAGGGGCCAAGAGACTATATATGCTTTAAGCTGAGCTGAAACCATAGAACATGCAATATTCGCTAGTCGCTTTTAACTTTTCAAGTGGCTTTGTACTATCCCTACAATAAATACAAAGTATAGCTCGCAACTTGCATTTTCCAAATAAGTGATTGATTACAACAGCTAGCTAGGCCAAGAAGAAGAGTACCACTCTTGGATTGGATATATAGTCCTAGAGTGTTGAGGATCCATTGCAAGAAATAAGAGGAAGAAGAAAAACACTCTAATCAATTCACCGCGAATTAATGGGTTCATCAGTCGTCGTGGGTGTGTTTGTGATTATGCTGGCGACGGTGATGATGTCTCAGCTGCCCAGCACAAGCCATTGCCTGATGAACAAGAGCAGCAGCAGCACCTCCTCCTCCTCTAATTGGTGCATTAATGGTAGCACCCACCAATATTGCCAGCAGCTTATTATTCCACAGGATGAGGAGGAGGGCGTTGATGACTTGGAGTTGGAGCCGATGAGTATGATCATGAAGCATATGCCGGTGGATGATTCGCATCACGAAACTAGCAACAGAATGCTGTCGTCAGCGATTTCTTATACTATGAAGTCGTTAGCAGGAGGCGACCCGGCTTTTAAATGTGCGAGAAACAGGTATCCTGCATGCAATCCTACTCTCAGAATGAATAACCATAAGATCCCATGTAGAGACGCGTACTTCAGAGGTTGCTAAACGAGCGATCACTCCTTCAAGTTTCTTTCTAGAACCAATTAATAGAAATTGCCATTTTTCTTTTATGTCGTCGTTGCTTTCACCATAAATGTTTTAGTACCAGTGTTAGTAAGGATATGGAGTTTGTATAACATTAATTGCATTCTGCTTGTTCTGTGTGTAATGGTTTGATATCTCGTTTTATATATGTTTCTTCAGAGGAAGTAATTTCCTGATAGCCCCCATAGTTCAGCTTTCAGGACCCTGTCCAATTCCTAGATTAACCGCAAAGCCACTTATCCATTCACCAAGGGAATTGCAGATTACGCCCCAGTACCATTAGACCATGGAAGTCTTCCACAAGAGCAAATCAATGCATCATTGAATTTTTATTATCAGCCATTGAATTTACTTTAACAAAATCAGACGGCTAAGATTAAAAGAGGAAAGAAAAGGATGTGATATTTTTAATGGGGAATGCTAGCAACCTTCTCTCTAACATTCTCTTTTAGACCTTGTCCCTTTTCCTCATGACATGTGTTATTTTCCTTTCCCTTCAAACAATGCCAATAATGTGTCATACAAACTAGTTTGTACTTTTCAAGTTTATCCTTGTTAATTGGGTTGAGATTTTAATTATCCTCATTAAGAATTAAAATTATTAATTAAATGAGAATAATATGGTAAATTCGCATTTTTTATATATTAAAATTAAAAACAAAATCAGATAATAACTCCTACTTTTATGGAACATAACTACCAATATTATCTTTTTTTAATTCTAAAAATAAAATTAAAAGGAAAAAAGAAAACCAATTGGAGCATGTGCCAAGGGCTAGTATCTATAATACCAAACAGTGGAAGATAAACATTACCAATATCCATTGACAAATAAAATTTGATTTTAAAAATAGGAAATGATAGAATACTTTATTAGCAACAATAGATTCACGGTAATTATAAAGCGTCTGTTAAAAAAAAAATTAGCATGTTAGCATCATTTGTTTTCTTTGGGTTAAAAAAAAAAAAGATGACATTTTATATTTAAAAAATTCTGTTTTTCTTATTTAATTTTTTTAACAAAGTGGAAACAAAGATGTAAAAAGGTTAGCTTGTTGTAAAAAAAAAATGTCAATACATTTAGTAAGGGTAAATTCAGAAAACAAAAATTAGCTTGTGTGAGATATTAATGACATTGTTTTAAGGTAAAGGAAAATGACACATGTCATGAGGAAAAGGGAGAAGGTCCAAAAGAGAAGGTTAGAGAAAAGATTGCTAGCATTCCCCTTAATTTATAGGCCAAAAGTCACTTTTGGTCCTTATAGTTTGGCACTTCAACCATTTTTGATCCTATAGTTTCAATTCCATCAATTTTGCCATTGTAGTTTCGCATTTGAAGCAATTTAAGGACATGTTAGTATTCTTGTCAGTTTCTTTAATGATGCAAGGGGCAATTTCGTCAATCCAAAATCCTTGAGTGTAAAAGCTCATTTGAAATTCTCCCCATTTCATATTAGGGCTCGAAATTCAACTACTAATCCCAATTTTTGAAGAACCCTAAACCCAAATAACCAATTTCAAGCGCTAATATGAAACTAGGGGAGTTTTAGACAAGCTTTTATGCTCAAGGATTTTGGGTTGACGAAATTACCTCTTACATCGTCAAAGAAATTAACATGAATACTAACTTGTACTTGAATTGCTACAAATACGAAACTACATGATCAAAATTGACGGAATTAAAACTACATAGTAAAAATTGGTTGAAGTGTCAAACTATAGGACAAAAGTGATTTTTAGCCTTTTTTATATTACAAATTTATAAAAAAAACCCAATCCTAGGCATGTATTTATAAAAAAACCCAAGCACTATTTAAACATAGAAACACACCCAAAATCAACCTCAAAGTCAACTTTTTGGGTGTGTTTATAAATGAGTTTTGAGTGTTTGTTATGATGGGTTTTGGGTGTGTTTCTATGTTTAAATAGTATTTGTGTTTTTTTTATAATTTCAGCCCCCATTTTGGGTGTTTTAGTGGAACTCCCTTTTTATATTATAGGATCAGTATACCCAAAAGCAAGTCTTTGATGCTTGATGAAAAAAGAAAAAGCAAGTCTTTGATGCTTGATGAAAAATAAAAAGCAAGTCTATGATCCAACTTCTGCTCAGGTTGTGCAAGCAAACAATAATGTAACGACAACTAGAAGACTAGCTCAGCTGATTAAAATCATTGAACGTTTTGGTCAAGTTGTGCTTTTCAGAAAAGAAAACAAAAACAACTTTCTTTTACATTTCCAGGCAATTTCTTAGGAAAACAATACATCTCAATGATAAAAGGAGACCTCCACTAACACATTTGAAACGACAATCATAGGCCTACCTACCAGACCCATCAACACATGACAAAGATAGGGTAGCACTGAAACAATAGAAAGCTTATGTCTGAATTATTCTCTCTTGACGAACCTAATTTCTTTAAAAATAAAAAATAAAAAAGCAAAGAAAAAGTTTACACCAAAAAGATGGAAAAGAAGCAGCTCTGAACTTTCAGAGAACACCACTTGTGTAGCTTATTCTCCATGTGAATACACACTTCTTGATCAGAAGTTTCAAATTCACATTTGAAAATTAAACACGGCAATCTCTCTGTTGTGTTTCAGCAGCTTCCCCGTTTCTCACTTGATCATCGTCGTCATCCTCTTCATCAACACCTTAATTACCCTCCAATCTTTCTCTTCTCTTAGATATCATCAAAAACCCAATTAGCAGCAAACACCTTTCCAAAACAATAACCATGAAGAAACTTCTTCTCCCTCCTCTGCCTCTTTACCTCCTTCCCCTGTTTTTCCAAATCGCCACCCTACTCTCTGCACCTATCTACACTCCGGTCGACGACATCACCATCAACTGTGGCTCTTCCGGAACCTCATTAAACATGGATGACAACCGGAATTGGACTGGAGATATCAACTCAAAACTCTCACCCTCTGAGTTTAACCAAGCTAACACCAACACCTCATCCCAAGTCAGAGAAGCCCCTACCTCCTCCTCTGTTAGCCAAGTGCCTTACACCATGGCTCGGCTTTCTCGCTCCGAATTTACTTACAAAGTTCCCCTCTCCACCGGGCAGAAGTTTATTCGCTTCTACTTCCGCCCAGTTTCATATGGCCCCGACTTTGACCGGTCCAAAGCCCTCTTCTCTGTCCAAGCAGGTGGCTTTACCCTTCTCCATGATTTCAATGCTTCTGTAACTGCTGATGCTGGTAAGACCGAGAAGCTAATAAGAGAGTTCTGTTTGAACATTGATGAAGGACAGAGCTTGACCATCACGTTCACTCCGAACAGAGCAATTTCAGATGCTTATGCCTTTATCAATGGGATTGAGATTGTGTCCATGCCTACCAATCTTTACTACACTCCTCCTGAAAACCGATATGGGGCTGATTTTGTAGGCAACGGAAACAATTATCTTATTGAAAACAGCACGGCGATGGAGACGGTGTACCGAATAAACGTCGGCGGAAGCGGACTCTCATTCGACCAAGACACTGGGATGTACCGCAATTGGGACAGTGTGGTAGAAGAGCAAAAATACTTGGATGAGTTGAGTTCCAGGTGGACTGTTCTTCCACAAAACGTTAGCATTAAACCCAACTTTGTGAAAATACCAGAGTACTCTGCTCCAGACGCAGTTTACCAAACTGGCCGGTCCATGGGCAAGAACCACACCCAAAACAAGAGCTACAACCTGACCTGGGAATTTCCCGTAGATCCTAAGTTTTTTTACCTGCTCAGGCTTCATTTCTGTGAGTTTGAGCCTGAAATTATCGACACCGGGTATCGATCGTTTATAATCTACATAGCGAATCAAACTGCTGAGCCACAAGCCGACATAATCATGTGGAGTGGTGGAAATGGGAGACCAATCTACAAGGACTACGTCGTGTACATGCCAGCAGGCCCTGATCAGAAGAAAGTTAAGCTCTTTCTTGCACTGCAAGCAAACCGAAGAGATTGGATGACTGCATACAATGATGTACTCTTGAACGGCCTTGAACTCTTCAAACTCAGTGATACAAATGGAAATCTCGCAGGACCAAACCCCGACCCACCTCCACCAAAGCCGATGCAGCCGAAAACCCCCTCAAAACAGTCGAAGAAGAAGTCAACTCCTATGCTTGCCATCGTTGCTGGTGCAGTTTCCGCCATACTCGTATTATTCTGTGTCCTCGGATTCTTTGTTTTCAGTCGAAGAAGAAGAGACAAGGATACCGATGATGACCCATTTGTACCTTCCGGTTTGTGTCGTGAGTTTTCATTGTCGGAGATCAAAGCCGCCACCAGAAACTTCAACGAGGGTTCTATTATCGGTGTTGGTGGGTTCGGCCACGTGTACAAAGGGAGCATCGATCAGGGCACCCTTGTTGCGATCAAACGGCTTAAACCCGAGTCGCAACAAGGGGTCCCAGAGTTTAGGGCGGAGATCGATGTGCTCTCCCAACTCCGCCACCAACATTTGGTGTCTCTCATCGGGTACTGTAAAGATAGAAGGGAAATGATCTTGGTGTATGAGTACATGGAAAATAAGACTCTTAATGATCATCTAATGAACCCAAAATCCGATCCTAATGCACAACCGCTTCCTTGGGAAAAACGGCTCCAGATTTGTATTGGCGCAGCGCGTGGTTTGCACTACCTTCACACTGGTGGTACGGAAGGCACCATCATTCACCGTGATGTAAAAAGCACAAACATTTTATTGGACGAGAAATGGGTGGCCAAAGTTTCAGATTTCGGGTTGTCGAAAATGGGCTCGATGACCATGTCCAAGACCCACATTACCACGACAGTGAAGGGTAGTTATGGGTATTTGGACCCAGAATACATGCTCCGAAATCAATTGACCGAGAAGTCGGATGTGTACTCATTCGGTGTCGTGTTGTGTGAGGTGTTGTGTGCAAGGCCAGCCTTGATGCGTACAGTGGAGAAGAAGGAAATGAGTTTGGCTATGTGGTTCAAGGCCTGCCATCAAAATGGGGAACTTGATCAAATCATCGATCCAAGCTTGAAGGGTAAAATTGAAGACGAGTGCTTCAAAGTGTTCGTTGAGATTGCGTTGAGTTGTATGCATGAGAATGGGAAACAACGTCCGTCGATGAACAACGTGGTGGAGGGGCTTGTGCAAGCCTTAAAACTTCAGCAGAACGGAGATAAGATGGACGAGGATGATGAAACCAAGGGTGAAAAGAAGGCTGCAATTATGAATGAGAGCGACGGAGGCTTTAGTTCCAGCTGGACAGAGTCGTCGGATTCGAAGAACAGTAGTCGGGTGACCAACATGAGTAGTGACCAAAGTTGTTCGACCACCAACAATTCCATTAAAGGAATGTCCGGGACAGTTTTTTCTGAGATCAAAGATCCCAGTGGAAGATGATGCATGACGATCATGAGGAGCACTTGTAATAAAATTAATACAAATTTATAAATAAACCCAACCCTAGACATGTATTTATAAAAAAACCCAAGCACTATTTAAACATAGAAACACACCCAAAATCAACCCCAAAGTCAACTTTTTGGGTGTGTTTATAAATAGGTTTTGAGTGTGTGTAATGATGGGTTTTGGGTGTGTTTATATGTTTAAATAGTGCTTGGGTTTTTTTATAATTTCAATCCTCATTTTGGGTGTTTTAGTGAAACTCCCTAAAATTAAAGACAACAATATTAAACCTTGGATTATAGACTATCACGTACCAAGTGTCGCTTTTGGCTTTAGCTTAGCTTCTTCTTAATAATTAAGAGTTAAGTTTAATTCCCGAATTTTGTGTTTTTGATCTAAGTCCTCTCATATTTATGTCGCATAGGATTACATTTCTTTTTTAATTTTAAGATGTAATTATATTTTTTTTGTTTAAAATTATTTTTTTTGTTCCAACTATGTCCCCTTATGATTTAAATGGGGTAAGATTGATTTGTATCTTAATAATTAGCAATTTACAATGTGTGCAATTGAATATAAACGGCAAATACAGCAGACGTATCCCAAGAATCATGCTCTTTTCAATGCAATCTTTGCTGATTTATTGCTTTTTCAGTGCAGAGTTGAAATTATTTCAAATTAGGGTTCAATATTATAGATATTACCTGAGCCCGATGGTCAGATGCAATAAAGCGTTTGACATAATTTCACAATTTGTCGTCAGTTTGCAGCACATGCCTTCCAGGTATTTTTATTATTTAGGTTTTTGACACTTTTTGCTTACTGGTTCCTTATGCTAATATGTGCAATGTTCTTTTGAGATCATAGTTTGTGATTATGTTTTGCAGGTTGCGTGGTAGTACCTGGACTGTAGATTGTTTGGTATTTGCGTGGTAGTACTTGTAATTTGGGTATCTGTATATGTACCTTGGTGTGGTGGGTACAGGGTGCGATGTATACCTGATATATAGGTAAGGTGTTGGGGAAGGATACATATGGTGAAGATTGAACGGAAAAATATATGAAATTCTAAAAAATTAACTACAAGGGTTAAATTGGCGATTTCAATTAATTAGGGTACAAGATTGGCTGACTTTTTATTTCAGGGGTTAATTTCTACAAGGGTCACAGTTCATGAGTGGCTGAAAATCCTTTAAAGAACTCTTAAATCCTCTTCTTTTCGTGTTTTGTTTTGTGACATAGAATATATATATACAAAGGCTACGGCCCGAGTAGTAATTGAGTCCATGATCAATATTGAGCCCAAGAAAACCCTATGATAATAACCCAACATCTTACATATATATATATATATATATATATATTGTTGTTTGCAGGATCCTCATGGCTAGAATTTGCAGAAACCATGTCTGGCTACATTTTCAGAATCAAAGATGGCAAAAGCAAGTGGTATGCAAATGTAATTGATGATTATTCTACAGGTAAAGTTTGTAATACAAACTTATCTTTTCCACTACAACAGCAAGTTAACATCTTAAAAAATATACAAATTTATAAATAAACCTTTTCTATGCCTAAGGTACATGTACATCAACCAATTCCAATAAATAGGAAGAAAAAAAAAATTCAAATTTTACCTACAAACAACAACTAAGAAAAAAAAAAAAAAAAAACCTTTCAGTTCAAAAAAGCTTGGAAAATTAAGTAAAATTACAAAAAACAAAATTTGTTATTAGGAAAATCATTGGCATCGCTAAACTTCAAAGTTTTAACACTTCCCAAATTACATGCAAAGAAAGGTAATTACCCTATCGAAACCCAATTGTTGGGGATTTTTATTTGTTATATTAGTTTGAAACCAATTCCCACACACAACCAAGTTCCACAATAATATCTCTCAAAGATATTCCACTACCCAATCAATTTTATTTCAATCGATTGTAGTGTTTGTGGTCCTAGTTTATTTTTCTTTCATATCTCTAGTTAATTTCTGTACAAATTCTATATAGTCAGTCTACCACCCCCGTCAACTACTCTCTCGGGGATATTGGTCATGTGGATGTGGATGATTTGTATTCTTCATGGATAGAGAGCTGAGAGGCACTTGACACAAAAAGCTTTTCCAGATTCGAGGCAGGCATAGCTAGCAAGTCACATTGCAAATTAATTTGTAAACAAAGTAGATCAGTCATTATGTATGATAATGAGTCAATGACTCTGGCGTTTTATTCGCATAAATGAAAGACTTTACATGTCATTAGCAGTATAATTACTTGGCTGCCACTGTCCATCAACTTTAGCTTCTTTGACACTGTCCAACTTGGCGTACTTGAGCTCTCTATCCTTTTTGGATCCGGAGTTTCATTGTCCTTGATCAAATGAAACCTTCACTTATGCAATTGACATGACGTCGACAACCAAAGCCTTACATACCACGCACGCACCTTCAACTGAACCTTTCTCGGTAGAAAAAACAAAACACAAAAAAGCTTTGGACTTTCAAAGATCACCCTCCAATTCCAAGATCTGAAACCTAGTTTTGCAAAGCTTCCTCTCCTTATGCTTACAATAATAAGTAGCAGTAACTTCCCCTATTTCCGAGTTGACCTCCCTCTCAATCACCGTCACCTCACCCTCCCTCTCATCTTTCTCTTCCAATCATGAAGAACCCAAGCAGGCAGCAAACGTCTTCATAAGTCCATTACCATGAAACCCATTCTCACTCCTCTGTTCCTTCCCATGTTTCTGCACATCATCACCGTACACGAGGCAGGTGACACTTCTCCTATCTACACTCCGCTGTTTTTGCGTTCTGCGAGCCTATAGCACGATGAAGAAGATGAAGTTATTTGAGGGATCTCTCAATAGAAGTATATATATATATATACATTATATACTATAACACGATCGAACCAAATATGTTTAGAAGGGTATTGTGTGAGTGCTATTGTCTGGGTTTACACAAACGGCTGAACAGTTCAAGACATCACATTCACTGATTAGCCAAGTAAATCCGATAGTATTCCACTATGGAAGGTTCAAGGCCAAAAGCTACCTATCCAGATGCAGTATTCTTCTAATAAGGACTCTCTCTAGTGTCTTCATTTTTGTTTGCATGTTGTTGAGTCAATTTCCATTCATGTGGGGGATTGTTGGAAAATTTAAATATTAACTAATATTGATTTTTCTATTTGAATGGAAATTAATAAAATCCATTGGGTTAAAGACATGACCCTTGGGTTAAAGACATCTTCACATAGGGAGTGACAACTCTTCAAACCAAGGAATGCTTTGTTGGGGTGGCAACTCTTCAGACCAAGGGATGCATTGTTTGCCTTTACAGATTGAGATACCTTTTTGGAAAGGGTATTTCATCATCTATAAATAGAGCAATCCTCCTGCAGTTTTATTCATTTAATTATTCTCTACATATAGACTTTCATATGTAGAGAGCATTAGAGTTTTCATAAAGAGAGGTTCCTGCATAATTTGGTTCAAAGTTTCTTGTGAATTGCAGTGCTTCTTTCACAAGGAGGGGAGTCGTTGTATCATGGGAGGCGAACGCTAGTGAACCATAAGCACCAGTGT